CTTGAGTGCTGAACCTGTAACAACACGGCTGGCTTGCTTTGGTCATTGATTCCTCCAGAAGGCTTGTATTCCACATCGCGGAACAAAGCACCATGCTGCCTCGGAAGACAGACTTTTTGCCAGCAGGGCAGCATTGGCCAGCGAGACAGGGTATGTACACTCACAACTACGGAGCGGTGTCCGAGACATAGCGCTAGCGGTGGCAACAGTGCGTGGACGATCAAGGGCTCTTGCAAGTTGGGACCATGCTGACGTGATTCTTTGCAGTTTTTGTATTTCTTCCAGCTGCCTGTGAGGGTCGTTATGGCCTTGAGGTGTTTCCGTGACTTGGGCTCAACCACATGGGCTTTACTCTCAGTGATTGCAATCCTGTGCACTATTTGTTCTGGGGGCTGAGGCAGCTGGACAACAGGTTCCTCACCCTGCGCCTGGATCCCACACTTGAAGGTAACCTGTCATGTCCAAGTTGGGCACCAGCCGTCCAGCCATTCAAACAGCCGTGCTGCAATCTGCGTTGAGGTTTCCGAGCGTGGTGAAGGTCGCCTGCACTGTACTACTGCTTGTGTGGTGTCTGCAGAACCAGACATCAACTTCACTGTGAGGCCATCCCAAAGTTTCAGTGGACTCTGGCTTTGCATGACTCAGCGCTGTTCCGGCGGTGTGGCTGTCCAGAGGTCGAGGATCGGGCAGTTCATGCAGTTAGCACTCCTCAAAAACTGAAGATTTTCCATGAGCATGTGTCTACAGATCCGTCCTCAGACATGTTTCGTGCGCATGCTTTTCAGGGACTTTCCAGGAACTAGACAGTCACAACCATGCCGGGCAAAGTTGCACTCGGCCTTCTTCACATCCTATCCCAGTGCGGAAGGCCTGTCACAAAGTGACACGGCCATGATGCACTTCCTTTTTCATGAGAATGCCTTGCACTACAGGATGTTTAGCCTGCTGCTACACGCGGCTTCAAGCTTTAAGCAGCCTTTAGCCCGAGTTGAAGAAGCAGATGACAGCAGCAGGATCCTGGTTGAATTAGGATTTGCATGCCATGATTTTGAAGAAGTGTCCAGCACCATTTTCAGACAGCAACTTCAAACAATTGCGCTCAGCCACGCTGTGATGTTGTATCGATACCATGGGCCAGACACTGATTCCTTCCTCTTTGTTCAAATTCATGCCAGACTTTGTGCAGTGCAATTTGAACATCCAAGCACCGCATTATTTGCAGGAGCTGGTGTGGTCAGGATGTGCTGAGTTTCAGGGACGTCCCCTTTGTTGAGATGGCTGCGCCGAAGCGCTAGACGGCAAGACGTTGGTGGTGCCTCCGTGCAAGAAGCACTGATTTGGCCTGCCAAGTGGAAGCGTTCATGCCGCGTCCATGATCAAGAGCTGCCTTAGAGCTTGAGTGCGCTTGTTACTGCATAGCCAGCAAGCTGTGCGAGCTCTTTTGTTGGAAGTGGCTTTTTTTGACTGACCCCTCGGACCGGCACATGAAGGCGTTCTCAACTCTATTCTCTATTGTAGGGTACCAGGTGGCTGCCCCTAGTTGGCAAAAACTTGCTTAGGAACTGCTACGGATCGAAAGTATCTCCTGACCTTGATCTGTGCCCTTTAAGCTTCTAATAGCAGCTACTTGCGCCACTTAACTTAGTAGGCTGTAGGCCTAGACCAAGTGGTGAACTGCGTCAACGTCTGCAAACATGTATCCTGAACAGTTGTGTCATGGGTTAGATTCAGGTTGATGTACCTCGCTTTGGTGTTGTGCCAGGCTTCCCATGCGAATGCAAGCCATGCAATGGAATGACGTCTGGAACGACGAAGGATGATACCGAGAGAGAAGGGTCCAGTTTCGGTTATTCCTTGGCTCAGTTCCCACCGACCTGTGAGCTTGGTGCGGGCGCTTTTGGAGTAGTGCTGAAGTGTATGAATGCCGAAAACGGCAACGTATATGCCATGAAGGTGATTGAAAAGGCTCGGGTTATGGAGAAGAGCATGGGGGAGCAGGTAAAGCGGGAGGTCCTGACACAGCTGAAAGTCAAGCACCGAAACCTGGTCAAACTGCACTACTACTTCGAAGATGCTGCCAAGATATATTGCCTCTTGGAGTTTGCGGACAGGGGACAACTATTTGCATATTTGAAGGCTGGGCCGCTCTCTGAGCCGCAAGCTGCCAGCTTCTTCCTTGACACTGCCCGCGGCATTGACTATCTGCATAATCTCCGCATTGCGCACAGGGACTTGAAGCCCGTTGCTCGGCAGCTGCAGCATACGCTAGGGTGCAGCGACAGAGCCTAGGTGTAGGATGCTGTAGGTTATACTTGTATTTGCTTGGAAGATCAGCGGATAGCCTGCCCTGCCTGCCCTGCCCAGTAGGAGAACGTGCTCCTCTTTGGTGATGAGCTGCTGGCCAAAGTTGGTGATTTCGGTTGGTGCGTCGAGCTCGCAGATGGCCAGAGACTGACTTTCTGCGGGACTCTGGAATATGTTTCACCGGAGATGTTGTGCGGTGAGCCACATGACGAAGGCGTAGACTTGTGGGCTCTTGGAGTTCTCCTCTATGAGATGCTGCTGTCTGAAACTCCATTTCGAGCAGGATCCAAGAAAGGGTTGATGGATAAGATTTGTGACGTCGATTTTCGGATATCCCCGGGATGTATATCCCCAGGCCCAGAGGAACTTATCCGCAGCTTGCTTGTACGATGCAGCCAAGACAGAATGCCGCTGAAGACTGTGTTGGAGCACGAGTGGTGCCTACCAGTTTGTACAGTGCCGGACGTCAGGCTGGAAGAGACGCGAACAGAGCTTGCAATTGGTGACTTGCCACGGCCGAAGGCACGCAGTCGAAAAGGCCGCAGGTTTGTTGCACCTGCGCTTCTGGAGGCGAGTGCTGTCCCAATGCTTGTCGAATGTCCTGTATGTGTACAGCGTGAGCGGCTCAAGCTTGGGTCAGTCTTAGATGGAGGTTCTCTCGTTTGTTTTAAATCTTCACGACCTTCGTGCAACTCGGTTCGCTGAGTCTCCTGTGACCACCTGTTCTTTCAGGGTTTCGCATTTGTGCAACATGCAGTCTAGCTATGGCACAGCCACAAGTTGTTATTGTGCTGTAGACGTTGGCGCCTTGCAGCCTTGCCATGGCAAGCAAGTCTGGACCCAAGTCCCCTTCACAGAGGTTTCTTCTGCAACGAGCATGACACAGGTTTTCAGCTGTCCTTACAGCGAAGCAAGAAAGACAAGCTGGTGTCACAAGTGCCAACATTTGGTACACCAGCGGGAACAGTCCCTTGGGACTTGCAATATTCGATCGTTTTGATGAGCTGTGATTGCTCGGATGAATCTTTGAGCTTTAAGGTGGCAAGGATCTCTGGAAGCTCAAGGCCAACAATCCCGAGCTTTTCGCAAAGCAGGCCGTGCTGGAGTCTCGCGATGTGAGTGTTGCGAAAACACCATCAGGGTGCTGGACCAGATGCAGTGCCTTCTGGTTTCGAAGAAACAGAAAAAGCCGGTTGGTATTACAATCGAGCAGAAGCTTGACAATGGATTTGCATCCTTAAAGGACACTGCTCCCTTCCGTTGCAAGTGCAGCCCAGGACAAGATATTCTGGGTGCAGAGCACCAAGCAGCTGTTGTGGTTTGATGAAGAATCCGGTGAGCACAAGGACCCTGTCCTTGAGCAGTGAAACGCTTGCACACCACAAATGCTTGAATCAAGGAGCTCTACGAAGGGCAGATATTCCCGCTTGCTTTCAGTGGTGGAGCTGCTTCAAGCTCAGAGGCAACCTTGTACGCACCTGGTGAAGCAGTGTTTTTCTGTCGTTGTCCTCACAAGACCTGCTGCGTTCAACTGTTTGTGGTGGTTCTTGTAGAATTCAAGAAGGCTAGCTCTTTGGAGATTGCTGGCGTTGTTGTTTACCAACTCTAGGTTCTTCAGCCGTGGTCTACGGAGATTTGTTGGGACCATTTGGTCTGATGTATTGGAGATATACAGGCTCGCGTGGCGGTTGGCCCCCGCCACCTGAAATGCTTGGGATCAGGTAAACCTCCCACCCTGACCCTGTAGCGGCAGAATCTCTAAAAATTGTAGGTGGGGGAGCCGCTCCCTCCTGGTACTTGAAGGCCTCACCACCCGTGAACCCTTTGATTTCTTGCGACAGATGGTCAAGTTTGTCACAGGGTTTAGCTCTTACTGAGAAGTTTGGAGAAATAACATCCGGAACTACATCTCAAAGCGCAAGACTACTTCTAAAAGTTAGCGACTAAGAGGATTTAGAAGATGAATGAATGGGGTGTGAAAAGGCAGTAGAGAGTCATCATAATGAATCAGAATTGACGAGGGTTTCTTAGATTTCCATTCTATGATTAGTTGGAGATGCTTAAAAACACACTTAAGACCGTGGAGGCGAATTAGGGGTATCCTGGATTTTGCGCTCTCACTTTGTTCAAGGCTTCGCATCCAGGAGTGTAAGTACATTTTACAATAATCTAGAGTCTAGAGGAAATCCACCTTGAGTTCAGGACGTCCTTGATTTCCTGGTTTCTCTTTCCTACTCATCTTAGAACGGGGATTCCTTTCATCATCAGGGGAGCAATTTCAGTTGTGGAGTAAGATCCTGAGCCATGGTGCGAGTTACTGCAGGTCGCCACATATGCAGAGTCTGCTTGCACGTTGTTGTTTTTGAGTACTTTTGAGTTGATGTGGATTTCCTCGATTCTTTCGCATGCTTTGGGGCATGTTCTGATGAGCTGACAATACGACTCCGCTGACTATGAGCTGTTTCCTTTTTTGCGAAGGCTTCGCCTTTCAGTTTTGCCGTGAACTTCTGAAGCAGCTCCAGGGGCTAAGAGCAACTGGCGAAGGGTGCTGCTGTTGCATCTGTTGCCTGTGTCTGGTTGGCCTGCAACACTTTGCAACCATAGTCGTTTTTTTTTCAGTTCGGGACAACTGTTTGTGTAAGGCCTCGGGATCTGCGAGAAGTCAACTGAAGACGGTGGTCATTCCAGATTTGCACCGGGTGGCGTCAGCATTGCACCTCGTTTGCCAGTGTTCTTGTGTGGCAAGCACTGTGCTGATCTGAAAGGGGAACCACTTTGTCCACAACAAGCACTCAAGTGCTAGAACCGCCCCGTCAGTCAGCCATGCTTAAGCCGGCCGCCAGCATGGACACGTCCGCCACCAGCCGCCTTCATTCGAATTGGCAACCAGACGTGCCAAGTCCCCCACCAGCTCAATTCTCACAGCGTTAGCCACCTTTTCAGTTCAGGGTATTCCCCTGAACGGGTTCAAGGCTTATTAAGTCTCTCAGTTTTCTTTTTGGTTCATGGTTTTGTGTTCATGGCATTTAGTCAATCTTGTCACCATATCCTCATGAAGGTTTCAGGGATGCTGCCAACTCACGCATTCAAGTCTGGTTTCGTGTTCAGCGGGTCCGTTTTGTTTGACTTCTGACTTTCTGTTTGCATCCTCGTTAAGGGCTGGTGTTTGGGTCTTGGACTTCTGACTCAGCATGTCCGCTGTACCAGTCTAGGGCCTCTCATTCAGAATCTCCTCTTCAGTTTGAGAGACACTTGCTCAAAGTATTCATTTCAGCGTGTCTCGTCTACTGTTTCCAACTGCAGCCACCCTTTTTTGTAAGTGGCGGTTTTGTGTCAAGGTTTAGGGTGTTGAACACATGCGCTTTTTGGGTCAAGGCAGCTCAGTGCTTCCAACAGCATCATGGATTCAGGTTTGGCGTAGAGTGTTCAGGATCCAAATGGCTTGGCTTCTATTGCATCCAATACTCCCTAGCTCGCCACAAAGGCCTAGACGTGCTCAGGTCAAGGGGTTGCGTTTTAGGTCTTCTAGTATCTGGCCCTCAGTCACCATGTTACGTCTTCAGTGGTTGTATTTGCTTCATTGATTTGGTAATTTTTGAAGCTTCCCGTGTTGAGGGCTTCCAATCCCATGTTCTACTCTCCAAGTCTCAGTGCTTCGGATTCAGCACATTGTGTTAACCGGTTCAAGCATGAAGCTTTTGGGTACCCTTGAGGGTTCGTTCTTTTCCATCTTCCGGACTCCTTGTCCTGGAACCTTGTGTGTTCCAGCCAGGGTTTGGGACTGTAGGATTTGGAGTATCATGTTACGGGTGCGCCGCTTTCGAGTTTTTTTTTCCTCTTGAGTTGGAGCCACCATGTTACAGGATTGTAAGGGTTTCAGAGCTTGGAACTTTTGGTATTCCTTTCTTGCTCTAAACTCCTTTCGGGTTGGGGCTTGTAGGGGTGCTTGTCAATTACTGTATCCTCTTTCTTGTCTTTGCTCCTGGGAGGTTTAGGAACTCCAACTGAGCATATCCGTGTTTCGATTCCGGTCTTGAATCACCACAACATCCTGAGGATGTAAGGCAAGTTGTTGGATCTCCTGCATAGGGCATAGGCTTTCAACCAAATCAGGTATTTAGCTTCCGGCTTCGTGGGTGAAGTGTTCGCGGTATTTCCTTCCTAATTGAGAAGTCCTAAGCCTAGGCTGTCAGTATTCTGCCTAGGGTTCAGGGTTTCATTATTCAGCATTACTGAGCTACATCTTGTCGTGTGTTTGGTCAGGACATGGGCTTCAACCAATTCAGTGATTGCGGTTTCGGGTATAGTTTGGGAGGCCGTTGGTCGAAGTGATCAACAGGACTCAGGCAGGGTTCAGGGTTTGGAGCCTCCTCAGTTTTGCATGTTGCAGGGCTTCCTGCGTTCCCGAATGCGTAGCAGAAGGCTTCATGACAGAAGGCTTTCCATACAACATCATACAACTCTGGAAATTTGCAGGTGTTTCTGGAGTGTCATATCTACGTCGTGCCGACAGTCAGAGATTGACTGCGAAACGCTTTGACTACATGACAGTTATTTGCCATCCTCGGACAAAAAAAGCAGTGTTGAACCCCCAAATCATCGCGGCATCTACGAAGCGTCAACGGTCACAGTTGATGGATGTCCTAGGATGGGCCCTGTCGTGGCCGAGATCCTGGTAACAGTCCTCATTCAACTCTGGTGCGCGCTATGCCGCTACACTCCGCACTCCGTGCTCCACTTTAGACTCTAGCTCCACAACTCCCAACCCCCAACACTCCCTCCCCTCTCGCCCTGAGGAGTCTCAACTCTCCGTGGCGCAATTTACCCCAAACCGCGTCATGCTTCACACTCAACTTAATTACCCTCCAGTAAAGAGTTTTCTCCATAGTCCGCTCCACATGTCATCCCCATCCACATCCCACGCTCGACACAATGCAAGGCTCCATTCCACTCACTCCAGTCACACTCCACGCAACACTCAACTCCACTCTACTTGCTCTACTCCAGTCCACTGTTGTTCAAGGAGTCATTAAAGAGTCGAGGATTGGGAAAACGACCCAAGAACATAGCGTAAACACCAAATCAAATAGAGTGACACGGATTGCGTTGGCCCATCTTTTTGAGATGGAGTGGCCCAAAACGCTCGTATTCCTTACCCTTCCCTTGACCTCACCTCAAAGTGTCTGCAAGCCTCTTGCGCAGCACAAGGGCTTCTAAACGGGCCGCGGTCATCACTGTAATTTGATGGGTACGAAGACAGCTGAAGTTTCCCTTGAGTAATCAATCGCCGGTGCAGGGCTCAGCTTGCATAGTCCAAGCTTCAAGATTCAGCAACAGGGATGTACTTGTGCGTGTCGGCAGCCAAGCCTTTTATGGTGGTGGACTGTTGCAGGGTGCATCCAGACGGCCCTAAGCTACCCGCGACCGAGTCATTTTTGAATGTTTACTTGACCTTGACATACCTTCCCCCAACCAAACCGTTGAGATGTCAGCGACGCAGCTTTGCCCCAAGGAAGACGGACCTGGCTCATATCGACAGACCGGCTGCAATGCTCGGTGTCTTTGGAGGTGGTGAGATGGCTGCCAGAGCCTTCCCAGAAAAACTCGTGCCCAGCCTCGGCTTCTCCAGCAGATAGATTCTTTCTGAATGAAGCTCGTTTACAAGGTGAAGCGACTAGGAGCATCGCGTAGCTGCTGGTCGGAAGAGGATCTGCGCAACGCAGTGGAGAGTATAGTTAAAGAAGCCGCTGGCGAAAGCACTGCGTTCCTCGGCTCATCCTTCAGCATGTCCAGTCTCTTCTCAGCTCTTTCGCCTCAGCTTGATCGCCTTGTTGCGCCTTTTGCAGGTCAGTGGTCGTCATGGTGGGTTGCCGGGCCACGGCAGTTGCCACCGAAGGGGCTGCATTTCGGCTCACGACACGGCTGCAACAGGACCTGGCCAAGTACCGTACACAGCAGTTTCCTGGTAGCGCAGTGCAGCCTTACATCAGGGCACCTGTCTACAGCCACCCTCCTCGGCGGCTTCTTCTGCAACGTCAAAAGCTAGCCTATCCGTGCTACCTGGCAGCAGAAGCTGATGCTCACGTCCTTGTCAAAACACAAAACAAGACTGCTTCCAGGAAAGATGGGCAGTGTCTTTTTGCTGCTTGCAGTGTTGGTGGTCGGCACTGAGCTTACTTGAACCAGAGCGCAAGTTCTGATACGGCTGCTGCAAAGCCTGGCTAGGGGGAAGACAGGGCTATTGGGCGAGGAGGCCTTTGAGAAAACGCTTGCGTTGCAGCTGGTCAAAGGCTGGGCGCGCACAGGCCAGCAATGTCAATATCTGCCAATGTTAGTGAAGTGCTTGGGACGCATTCTGGTTTGAGAGGTGCGATCAGCCTTCTGCGATCTGCCAGACAGTCTGGGCTTACGGAACCTTTAGCTGTCGTATGTGCCCGCATAATACCGACCGAGGGTCCGCAGGGCTCCTAGCATGTTTAATGACTGCAGCTGTAAGACGTGGCCGCCTCTCCCACAATTGACGGTTCTCCAAGGTCGAGCGAGTTGCCTGCGAAACGTTTGAAGGCCCACAGTCTGATAGCTTTGCTGAGTGAAGCTAACTGCTGACACCGTGTGCAGACCTCTTCGACAAGCCCCATTTTCAGTGCGGGTACCACGGGCACATCTGGACAAAATGGTGGCAAAGCTGACCAGGCCAGTTTTGATTGTAGAATGAAAGCTTTCTTGCTTCATGACACATGCCTCTTGCACAGTCCTTGATTGTTTGAAGGTGCGGCTGAGACAGATTCTCCTCAGAGTGGTTGCATCTGGCCCACCCGTCATGGATCCTGTTCGTCGGAAACAGGCACTGCAAGAATCTGCGCGAATCCCTGCTTTCGCACGTGCCCCCCCTCTGCCTCTAGCTCTTTCTCTCTCTCTTTCTCTCTGTCATTCTGTCTCCACCTCTTATTCTTTCACTTTCTCTCCCTCTCTCTTTCAGTCTAAGCACCACTACGCGAAGTTGCCCTACTAGCGCCCTCGCGTGCCATGTTTGTTCTCTCCGTCTCCCTTTCCTGTCGCTTGACAGGTGAAGCGCTCGCAAGAGGAAGCTGAAGCGGACATGCTAAAGATCCTGCAAAGCCTTGAGGCTGACAGCATGAAGAGCTTTCAGCAACCAAGCTGTAAATCTTCCTTAGGACTGGATTTGATTGGTTACCCTTGGTTTTTCAGAGTTGTGCATCTGAGGAAAGTTTGCCGAGAGATGTCTGAGTGCCAATCGGCTCTCAAAGGCGGAGAGCTTGCTGGGGACATGGGTTGGCTGGACCGTGTCAAGGGTATTGGCATCCAGCAAGATCGCGCGAAGCAAGGCCAGGTCGAGAAAAAAAGCTGAACGTCCCTGGGATTTGCAAATTCTTGTTGTCATCCAGGCGTGCGGCCACAAGTTCCACCAGCAGTATTGAAGGCTGCTTTCGAGCTTGCCGTCGGAGAGGCAAAGCTCGCTGTAAGAAGCTCTTGCATCATTTTATTTTGCAGAGCAAAATGTCAAGGTGCATGATCTGGTAACGACAGAAGTTGGCGTGCACCTGTTGCAGCGTACTGCCTAGTGGCCAACGAGATCTGAGATGGATCTGATGATGTGATTTGCATCTGTGTACATACAACGATTTAGTGCTTACATGTGGCTGCACGCTCAAGTTTCCCTTCTGCAGCTTCAGAAGGGCAAGCAGCGAGCTTTGTTTCACGTTTCAGAAGGCGTTGCATGAATGCAGCGATAGCAAGCAAACACAGGACTACTCTCTTACATGTCCGCCAGATGTGCAACAAGCATGTGTAGCAAGTGCCCTGCCATTACAGGCTGTCTGGAAGGAGGATAGCCTTGCAGCCAAGAATCAATCCATGACATGAGATCGAACGGAAACAAGCAGGCGCAGCAAGCATGACTTGTTTCTAAGAAGGATCAGCTGCTTCCACGTACATTCAGTTGAACCGCCGCGGGGTACAGTGTGGGTCGGATGTTTGGTTGAAGCTTGGACTCCACGACATTCACCACGGAGCTGAGCACAGAATCTTGGCAAAGGGAAAAGAAGGTGAATTTCAAGAGTCGTATTGAAAAAGCACATGATATTCGCGCGATCACAGGAAGATGCAACTTTCGTGAACGAGCTGCCAGCAGAGGCATTCGTAAAAGAGTACATCGATTGCAGACTTTTTTTGCGGCAGTGCAGGTGGCAGGGTTGATTCAACCTCCGGAAACAGGAGCATTGCTTGTCGTTGGGCACTTACACTAAAGGGCTTGTCATTACGAGCGACGTGTCCATTCAGTCTGGCTCACGCTCCCAAAGTTGACATGGGAGCAGGGGGCTCAGGTCCTGCTATTATCTGCAGAGCGGAGGGCTTTGCTTTCAGAACTTGCTTCAGAATCGACAGTCCGGGGCTTGATGCGTCAGGATTCAGTTCACACAGTACCTGATCACCTCCGCCCTCAGGAAGAGCTTTTGGCATGTGAAGATACGGAGCACACCGACGAGATTGAAGCTGACCAGGCAGCCAAGAGTAGCGAATGTACAGAGGAAGCTGGAAGTGCTCAGGATGTCAAGCCTTCTCGAGAATTTCCCACTGCGCAAGTTCTCCAAGCAGCATCTCCGTCAACGACAAGTCAGCCCGAGAAAAGACAGGCCGACTCGCAAATAGAAGAAGAACGTAATCCGTTTTGGCGTGCGACGGCATCAGACCGTCTCTGCAAGTTGCTACGCCTTTATTTCTGCTTTGCTTCTGTTCCTCTTTTCCTCTCTGCCTTTCCTTTCTGCTTCATGGTGACTTGCGGCAGCGGTCGACATGCAGTAAGCCTTCCGCAGAGCACACGCTGCAGCGTTCACGGCATGTGGCCTGAACTGCCTTCGAGATTTGGAAGCCGACGGTCTGGTAACCGTTTTGCCACGGGCGTGGCGGATTTGGGACCTGCCAAAAACTGGACAGCTTTGTTTGGATGGTGGGCATCAGGACTGCTGCAACGAGGCTTGCATCTCATTACTCCAATTTTGGGTGCCCTGTGTCGGCATCTGCAAACCTACCTCCCTTGCCCACACTCCCTTCCCTTTGCTGCCTTGTTTTGACGCCACACTGGTCCTCCCCTCACCCCTCTTTAATTTTCAAACTTCTAAACCCCTAGATCCAGCCCATCCAAAACCAAAGCACAGCAGCTGCAGGTGGCATGTGCGCCAGCGCCTCCATGTGGCGAACCTCCAAGAGGCAGTCTTTCCTGCTGCCATTGAGGAAGACCATAACACAACCGTCACACACCTGCTGCGGTGAGGTGATCTGCCAACAGCGAAGTCGAAAGGTAAAGCCAAAGCTAAAGCCAAAGCAAAGGCCAAAACAAAGGCAACAAAAGCCAAAGATATGGAAACTAAATCTAGAGGCTCAACTGCTGCGCACTGGATGGGGATCCTGACTGTTTGCAAGTCTTTTCGAGTCATCCCTTTCAGGTGAGACTAAGCAGACAAAAAGTGCATTGGAGCAGAACGGCAAGCCTTGGCAGGCGGTCAAAATTTGAATTTGTGGAAATGTACGTACGTTTAATTGGCTTCTTCATGTTGCCTCGTCACTGGTTCCCAGCCAGGCTGTTGAACCAGCTCACCAGCAACGCAGCACGCAGGAGAGGTCAAGGCGAGGTCCCGGGAATCTGCAATTTTTCTAGATACTCGTCGGGTGGACAGTCCAGGCCGGCACCCCAGGCCTCAACCTCGGAAGCACCGAAGCTGAAAAGGGCCGAGGCTCCAAGAGGGACAGCACAGACTATGCAGGCATATGTAGGATCTAGGCCTGCTACTGCATTTGAAGGACCTGAGAGCTGATCTTTGGGTCAGAAATCGCGAGGCGGACAGCTGAACTGCTGCTTTTTACTTCATCTGCCCGAATCTCATCTGCCAGGCAATGGTGCCAGAGTTCTTGGTCGACTTGAGGCGGTGTCTCTTGAAATCTTTGGAATATGGTGTGATCAGATTTTCATTGGTGCCAATACCTCAGCCACAACTTGCCTGTAATCTTCGCAGGCCATCTGCTTCAACAGAAGTTTTTGTGGGAGACGTGGATGAAGCTCCTCTCTTCGACGGAGAGGTGCTTTGGTGATTCTTCTCGCTCACATGCTTGGGAGGCCTCCTCAAAATAGGGGATGGGGAGGATCATTCTTAATACTCTTCCAAGAGGCTGGGGCAAGAGCGGATATTGGCATTTCAGGATGCTCTGGCACTGCAAGTGTTGCGGCGTTCTCCAGTATGCTCTGCGTGTACTCCGAGAAGTGTTTCTAACCCCCAAATTAAAGGGAAGGGCGGGGGTGTGACCCACTGTTGCACAGAGGCAGTATGAATGCACCCAGCAAAGTTCGAATCACCTTCCATTGCTCAGCGGCCTCAAGTACTGCGTCCCTTGACTATCGTGACACCCTAATGTGTTGGAGCAGGTTCTCAAATATGATTGGGAGGGGCGCAGAGCGGTGTGGCTGTAGTTGAAGAGTATGTCTTGGTGATAGACATTTGGTCCTAGCGGCTCTCACAAGAACTGAAGCTTCATGCTGAGCTCCGGGTGTGTAGTGACACCTGACTGAGGTGAAGCTGCAAGTCTACCATTTGGCGAAAGCTGTGGGGGTCTTGTCACGGATCCATTTCACGCGAAAGCTCAGCTGCCAGACTCGTCCCGAAGGTGAAAGCCATCGGCCTTCCCATCTACCACACCGGTGTCGAGGCCAGAAACTGTAGGTGGCGGAGGAGAGGGCATTCTGTGGGGGCGCTTGTGGACTTCTCAATCTGACGATCTAGTGTGTGCAGGTATATGGTCTGGAGCACTACTACTGTGTGAATGGTGTCGAATGGTGTTGGCCGCGAGGCATCAGTCACTCAAAGCATGTCCTGCTTTTTGCTGGACAGTACGCTTCTGCTGGTGCAGACGAGCAGGACCCTGTCAGACTTGCGCCCCTCATGAGTATCAGTCCACTGAATTACAGTATGACTTCCAAATCTACAGAAGTCGTCACACTTGAGTTTGAGTCACATGGACGTGAAAATTGGCACTCTCCCAGATCATATGATGTTCAAGGCTCACACGGACTCATGTTGCCATTCCTGAAAGTCCCCGTCACCCCCTGCATATATGACATGAGCACGGCTCTCAATGGTGTTCCCAAGCACTCAAGACGTCATGATGATGTCGATTTCTTCGGTTCACGCATAAAAGCATCACAAACATACATGAAACATGTGTGTGGCACCACCGGCTCACGCTTGAAACTCCACATGTACAAGTCTGCTGTTGATATCTGTTGATGTTGTAACCCTTGGAGACAGGCTTCTCACACGCGGAAGCTACTTGAGCATGCAAACTTTGTCACCGCCCCAACTTCCCAAATCGTGCTTGGTGAAACCCAATTCGAAGTAGCATTGACAACTTGTCGTGGCTTCTGGTCATAGCTTCTGGTCACAGCTTCTGGGTCACAGCTGCTGGTCACAGCTGCTGGTCACAGCCTCTGGTCAGTGTTCTCTGGTCCCCGTTTCTTGCCCAAAAAATGTCTGGCTGTTCCTCCACAACAAAATACGCTTCTGCAACAATCCGAAAGACCTAGTGGCGCAAGCGCTGCACCTTGCAGACCACATGACACGCGCCAACCAAGCAACAAGCAACGGTTTGCTTGCTTTTTGCAAGACGCTGTTTCAAGTTTGCAGGTGACCAACTCAGCTTCTCAAGGGAGACGGCTGCGGACATGAGTGCCAAAGTTGTTTGCAACAATCTTGGAGGGCTCAAACGAATGTGCACTTTGCTGCTCAACAAATGAAGCCAGACTGTCTCCAACAAGCTGTCTCCAACAAGCTGTCAACAAAAACTTCGCACAGATCCATGCTCGCTGTTGGCCGCATGGGCATGACCAGGGAGGAAGAAAAAAAACAACGTCCTTGTCTCGTCCTGTTTGTGGATATCAGCTGCAACGCTGTTGCCCAGATACTCCACATGCAGGTACGTTTTCCTGGACTTTCAAATGGAGCTTCTTTGGCGACGGCCATTCCTGAAAGTCCCCGTCACCCCCTGCATATGTGACATGAGCACGGCTCTCAATGGTGTTCCCAAGCACTCAAGACATCATGATCATGTCGATTTCTTCGGTTCACGCATAAAAGCATCACAAACATACATGAAACATGTGTGTGGCACCACCGGCTCACGCTTGAAATCCACATGTACAAGTCTGCTGTTGATATCTGTTGATGTTGTAACCCTTGGAGACAGGGCTTCTCTCACACACACACACACTCACACACCACAAATTGTGTTTGATAGCTCTTTTAGGCAAAAGCTTGCGAGGCTGCAGTTAGTCAGCTCCCAAGCAGCATGGTCATATCTGGTCATTTGGCTGTCCGATTGCTGAAGCCATGAGCCCCAGAACTGTAGTAGCAAGCTGGACCTCTTGTGCTATCGTCATATTGTAGAAATTGCTGCCAGACAAGGACTTATCAGCCCCTTGTACACCCGCTCAGGTCGATATTTCGGTGCTCTTACGTTTGCAGGGAAGGGGAAAATTAGGCGAGGGAAGGGAGGAGGAGGAGGAGGAGGAGGAGGAGGAGGAGGGAGGAGGAGGGAGGAGGAGCGAGGAAGAAGGAGGAGGAAGAGCAGGGAGGAGGAGCGAGGACAGGTGAAGGTTGGGAGTGAGGTAGGATAAACAGCTGTTGATCCTCTCGGGGCTGTAACCTGTCGGAAATCCCACAGTGCCGTGCTGGGAAATTCATAAGAGCGGAGCACTAAAGCTGCGAACCTCGTCATGAAGACGGCCGGCCTCACCAAGTTCTGTATTAGGACTTGTGAGCTGAACCTTGACTCCTCGTTTCCAAGCACACCAAAACTCACGATTGCTAGAAACGGTAGACTGCATCCCTTCGCCAGGCTATGGACAAGGAGTTCACAAGGCCGCTGTGCCACTCGGCAAGACCAAACTCAACAAGACTCGCGTGGAACAGGCCTGACTTCAGGTGGACTCACTGTGGCTGCCACGTTTCAGCAACTTTGCAGGTGATTAAAAAGATGAAGCCCAAATGGCCTGGCCAGGAGAACCATGATTCCATTTTTCTGCATTGTTACTCCCATATGGCAGGACTACAAGCTGCTCAGCCACAACTGCCAAACCTTTGCTGTTGAGCTGGTCTCATTACTGCTTCCGGGAGTAGTAGTTCCCAGTGAGTATTGCTGGTGCCTTAGCGGCGACTGATGCGTCGCCATTTCGAGTTTGTCAGCTGTCGCCACTCAGGCAGGTTCGCGGGTACCAAGCCGAAGGCTTCCAAACCGGTGACTCCTGGCTGCACTTTTGATGCTTTGAAGCACGTTCCATTCCTCTGAGCTTCTGCACCACTGAAAGCAGCCGCAAAATCTGCAGGTTGCTTGCCAGACAGTATTGACTCGTCCCAGTGCTGGACTTTCATGGCAAAAAGCAGGAGTGCACGCAAGACAGATGTGATAAAGCTTGTTGGCATGAAACCGGCAGAAGTTCAATTCCGCCTGACGTTGTCGCATGTTGGTTCCATTTCCTTTAGCTGCGACCAGTCTCAGTCATCTTAGCCACCATGCCGTAGAACCACGCTGGCGACAAGGCAAACCCCGTTGCAACGGTAATCTCAGCAGGATCCAGATTGATGTGTGCCAGGTCTGTTTGGCCGGAAGGAGGCTTCTGCTGCCATGACGCAGGTCGCTTGCCTGTTTCAGTCGCACGACATGCTTGGCTGGAAATGCATGTCAGGCAGACCAAGACATGAGCGACATCTCTAGGCCTGCTGGAGCCTTACAGAATCTTACCCCGGGGCACCGGCTCCCTGGAAACGCCAGATGCTGCAGAGGTAAAACAGGCACACCAAGTCCTCAGAAGTGCTGCCGGGCTCTTACGACTCTGGCTCCGACGATTTTCCTTTGTGCTGCATGTTGTATATCGGCATGTTTACCATAGACGTCCTTACGCGAAGCTGCTGGAATCCTCATCCGTGCTTCCTCCTCAACCTCAAGCATGCAGCCTGGTTCACTCTCTTGTGTAGAAAGTGTATTTCATATGACCCCAGGCAATTTCCAACTCTACGCGAATGGTGGAGAGACATGCGCTGAAGGAGGTGTGTTTTCATGTGCATTACCTTCTCTTCAGTGAGCAGCCTGCCTCGTATGTCACACCAGAATTGCCAAGGTGATTGCAGATACAGAACGTCGGTTTTGGGGATGTGCTTGCCTAAGGAAATTTATAGAAGCTCGCTGGATATGCGCCAAAAAGGGAGTAAAGTGGGCTCGTGGTGCAGGTGTGATGCTTCCCATCACGCTGGCTTTCTTTGGTTTCTATTCGCTGTCCTCCATTCTGCATGAGGACTTTGCCGTGCACATACGCATGCGGTTGCTTGGCAACCAGTAGCAGGATGTACCCTCCAAGCACATCACAGAGTTCCCGGTGCGGAATGTCTTGAATCCGCTGTTGGTCTCCGTCTTTGCTGTCAGACTTTGTTATCTATTCCTCAAGCCTATGGACATGTCTGTGAACTGAGGGTGAAGATGACGAGGCTACTGCGGAAATGCTACTTGTCTACTTCTTCGCAACATGTACCCCTTTCAGTAGTTGGCACCTTCAAGGCTAGATGGTTTGACCACAGCATCCGATGTGTTGAAGCCTCAGTATGTGTAGCCTTTTCCCAAAGCTCTTGGCATCATGCATTTGGGCTGAGGTGGAATTACCTGGAGACCGTGTTTATTCCTTTCTTCCTCCGTGACACCGACATCTATGGAAGACAGCTTCCTCAGGAGCAGTGACTTAGTAGTGGCGCCGCATATGACACGGGCAGAGGCTTCAGCTGTGCAGAGGCAAGCAGGCAGCTTGTTCAGTGACATGTCAGGAGAAACGAGGGACTTTCTTGCAGTATAACCAGGCTGCTTGTTGAGCCATCTAAGAGTGCAAAGTGCAGAAACACGTGTGAACCACAAGGTGCTGGGTGGCATCATCATGAGCTTGGAGCGTGGGAATCGGCAAAGCTGCGAGGCCGGCTTTCTTGCCTTTGCCTTTGCATCTCCGTTGCATCGACGATTGCGAAATGGCCTTCTTCCCTCAGGACAGTCTCGTTGAGCACTTGACTTGCTTCCCTCAGGACACTTGCTAGGAGCACTCTATTAGCAAACTCCGTGGCAACTTGACTTGTAAAGGACGTGCTCAACGACACGCAATACGGATTGGACCCTGGTTTCGGTCAATTTTGACAAGATCTCTGAATTTCAGTCACAATTTCTGACCGGTCCAAGGCGGAAACATTTCAGATCTCTTCCAACCGGGGAAGAATGCATCTTACTGGTATGGCACGCGGACGACTCAGAGCACAAAGATGGCTTTTCTTGCCTGGTTTGAATTGCTCAGAGCTTCAGGAATGAGTCCTTGTTGGAATGCCCTGACGAAGGCCTCCGAGCTTTTTGGAACTTTCTGCATCCCCACCCATCCACCACCCTCCCCTCCACAACGCCCAACCCTCCCCCTCTGCGACCCATCCCCACCATCACTCCTCCCTCCCCCACCAAAAAACAGGGCGGGGCCCCCCCTAATTTCGAACCGACCAAATGCAAGCAGGCTAATTTCAGTGGTATGATTCGGTATGATTGACATATCCAGCAAAAGCAAGGCTGACACCTGAGAATTCATGTTACAAAGTTCCTGGTGTTACGGCGTTGACTTGCTGTTTATGAATGAAGTGGCAAGCGGCCCTGACTGGTCCACATGACGTCCATGCGCATCGGGCTGGCGCTGTGCGCAGCCCATCGCAGCCCCAACACTTTCATGCTAGCAATTTTCGATTGGGACATATTGGCACATTTTTCCTTGTGGCGTAGCTGACTTATAGTCTGCCAGCTGGGGAGGCTTCGTCATCCCCGACTGCGCATCTAACGTTTCCAACGCCACAGCGAGGCATCTTGCATCAAGACTTGCAGTTTATGCCCCCAGCTCTGGATCGTGCTTTGTTTTTCGTGCCGCAGGCCAGCACGAGCGATCAATATTTGGACTTTAGATCGACGACTGGCGCCTCTGGTCCAGGCCAGGCTGGCACAAAGTAATCCACTGCCATGAAGCAACTTGTCAGGAGCTTGCTGGGGTGATGCCTGTCGAGCAGACTCAGGTGACGGTGCTTCTGGTTGTTTGCAACCGCTGCATCTTCTGCAGTTACCTGTGGCTTGACAGATCTCAGTGCTTCTGGACGGCGAGAAGTCGTTCAAGATGGGAGCCCAGCAATGCTTGTTCTTGCCACATGCCGTGGCCGGCAGGGTCCGCTGACAGTCCTATGACGTTCACGAATCTTAGGTTCACCTTGCGAGCCAGAGACCCCTTGGAAAAAAACGTGTCGCAAACTTAGTAACCTCTTTCCAAAAAGTTTGCAGGATTCAGAGATGAAGCTTGGAAGCGCATCTTATGATTTGCCTTGCCAATGTCCACGACTAGTGCGCTCCTGCACAATTTTTTCAAGGGCAAAGCGAGATTTGTTTTGAAGCACTTACCGTCCGTTCTTTGACTGTCCAGGAAGAGGTTCCAGTACCTCAAGGCCTAGAACCGCCGCTTGCAGCTTGTTCCTTTACATGATATCTTTTTCTGACCTGCACAGGACAGAGGATGGATTGATGAGCAAACTTTGTCTTTGGAGACGAAGGCAACTCAGTGTCAGGGGAGGTTTGCCTGCACGATTGTATGGCACTGCTAAAATTTTGAAAATTGTGAGCAGCTTGGGCTGGCCTGCCTTGGCTTGGCTTGCCATTGCCAGCTCCGTTCCACCACTTGCCAGTGCTTGCCCTGCTCCCTGCCTTGTCGGCCTGCCTAGCCCATTCGGTCCCTTCCCAGTCCGTGTGCATGTTGAAACTCTTGTCTTGCTGAAAACCATGCCCAATTGACCTCAACCCAGGTGCTGTGTGGTAACTGCTCAGCAGCAAGACTGCAACTTTACTTGCAGACTGCTGTCCAGCTGCGCCTGTTGCCTGCCCAGCCGTCGTTAACATGTTGCAGTAAAGCAGCTAAACGCCTGCCAAAAATGCATCCTGGAAGGTGGTGGCATTCAACTACCAGCTGGCTCTATGCTCAGGGCAGCGCATGGCACGCAGGATGTCTAGATGGGGTGAGGACTTCAGCAAGAGCTGAGGCCATCCCGCGGCTATTGAAAGTCCAGTTCACTTTCTATTTCAGTTCTGTGCTTACAGCATGGGCTGCCAGAGGTTCTAGGAGCCTGAGGTAGGCATGGTCGGCATAGCTCTGATAGCTGAGGTAGGGGAGGAGGTGTTTACACCAAACAGAAGATCGAGGCTTGGTGAGAGTCCGGGCTTGCCTCCTCCGTCCCCACGGTGTCCAGCAGGTTGCAACTCTGAAGACGTGGCCGCAACACAACAGGGCTCTGCTCCTGTTTGTGGACATTGTCTTCCTATGCATGTGTGCCTCAACTGCGATGTAGCCGTACTGCCTTGAATCTGTGCGCGCTGCGCCGACGTGGCCAAGGTTTAGCCTCCAGCGCATTCATGGTACTCAGCTCAAAGACTGCCAGTCCAGTCTCCGGGACCGCCTGGTTCTTGTGCATTCAGGCCCGCGAGTTCTCAAAGGACATGAAGGCGGGTCTTCTCAATGCGCTGCCTGTCCACCTGCTGGCACTATCACGGTGCCCTTGCTCTCGCGGGCTCAGCAGGTAACTCTTAATTCTTGATATCATTTCAAGCTCAATAACATTTTCCACGCACCTTAGCCACTTTAGCCACTTTGGCCACTTCGGATCTACGCAATTGTCTGCGGACTTAAGGGATCGGTGTCGGGTTGAGGGTTGGATTCTACGCTTGGGCATGCCAGAAGGTTTGGCGGCTGAAGGGGAGCAAGTGGTGCGCAAGCAGTTTGGTCCTGGATTGAAAAGGCTGATATCGTCAAGTGACAAATGATTCTTGTGAAGTGGCTGAATTGGACAAGTGGAAAACGTTGTTGTGAATGACTAGTTTTCCCACACTCTGGATCTCTTTGTCGTGCCCAAATCCTGTCGGCAGGGCAGTCATAAAGTAGTTTACGTGTTAGACTGACATTGAATCAAAGCTTGGAACCTTCAGGCATTGTCTCATTTCTGATTTGTGTTCCAGACTATGACCGCCGCTGTCTGTTAGCAGGGGCTCATCATCATGAATCACCTCTATGATACTCCCTTTGCTTATTGTTTATGACTTAGGGGCTCACAGTACGCTGCCGGACATAAAGGCGAGTGCTTATCCAGGATAATTTGGGTCCTTCAGTTTTGTGAGTTGGCCCAGGCTGGGCAGCAGTCCAGAGGGCAACTCACGAGCATCCACTGCGCGAAGCAACAGATTCCAAGTCGCGTTGACTGCAAGCTTCGATGGACGTCCTCTCCCCACTTATCCTCAGTGTCATGTTTGCCCTGTTGAAAAGCATGCTCAAGCTTTGAATCTATGCTATGCTCTCTCGCACAGTTTTCCGGATTGACGCAGGCAGGCAAGATCTTTGGCCACTTCAACTTGATCAATACAATCACTTGGTTGAGTTGCTTATTTGGCCCTGCTCCAAGCTGCATCTTGTGACGCTTCGCAAAGCTTCAGCAGACCGAGGCTGGGCCCACCTTGGTATGCTCTTTGGGCTGGTCCGTGCCTGAGCGGCTGAGCGGTGTGTGCGCTCTCGGCGCCCTGTACTTTCCTGCTCCTCCGAGGAAGTTTACCGAAAGATGGTCATGGCCAGTATTCAGGTGCATGTGTCCAAGACTTCCGTAAGTAGACATTCAGAAGTTTGCCTTGGAGCTGGCAGGACTACTTTGACTACTTAGATACACCAAGTACATTGGTCAGGGCTTCAGTCAGGTAAGGCAAGCCGGCGCAGCGCTTCAGCCAGTGTTGAAGCTGGTGTTATTCCACGTGCCAAGGCAGTGATGAGCCTCTCAGACTCCATGGCCCCATGGCTGCAACTAGCGTGTGCCATATGCTTGGCAGTATTTCGCAAAAGGATTGCTGGTTGGTGCAGTGAGCTTTGGCAGGCAGAGTTCTCATCGTATCAGAGAATTTTCATTTCGTACGCTCACATTCTCTTCATGCCCGACCCCAAGTGATCATTCGTCATGCAAGCATCGATGCCGAGCGTAACGCTCTGAAAGCATGCATAGCAACTCAAGTTGTATGCCAAAGTTATGCAGACTTGTGACGTGTGAAGAGAGATGCAAAAGCTAGCATAAGATGAGCGCAAGCAATCCAGCTGCAGGGCTCGCTGCTTCCTGTCGTTGCAATGGCAGCCTCGGCTGGCTATCATCACCTCCACACTACAGGCACTGTGAAGCTCAAATTGCACCAGACGGATCTCGCAGCTGGCAGGCAACCACGGTGGACCTGACCCATTTCTTAATTGTCTGGCCCTGTTCAGCTATACTTTTGGACTTCACGCAGACTGTGAACCCTGCTAAGGTTCTTATCCCGACATGGTTTGGTTTCGCAATTGCTGGCATGATCATGTTTGGTCGGCGGATGCAGGCAATATCATTTTCCCGTTCCCTCGGACATGTCTTACATGTCTTACAAAGCCAGAGTCAACACTCCGTGCAGGCATTCTCCACTCCTCTCAGTGGCTTTGCCATGCATCCTGGCTTGAACAAATGCATGAGGTAGGAGAAGCACTTCCATGCTCATGGAGAATTGAGGTGCCTCCAGCTGGCTCTCGAGGGCGAATACGACTGGGGGTATATGTCTTCAGAGGCTGTTCGAGTAGAGTTAGAGTCAGACTTGGGAGCTGTTGCCGATGCAACAATCTGTTGCCAGGATTGGTTCATAACGCTCCTATGGGTTTGGATCTACATGGTCCTATTGGCATGATGCTTGGATTGACTCTGACTGCTTTTGTCAGTGGGATGCTTCATCCCTGCCTGAGTACTGTGTCCGTACACATGTCACCGCATTGCAGCCAGTGAATCCAACCTTCGGACAATCTGGACTGTAGGTTATGGTGATGTTGAACATGGTGCTCGCCATCATCATGGACGTTTACGCTGAGGTTCCGCCGTAATCACCAGATTCAGGGCAGGACTGCCTGGTGGCCAGGTGCGCCGACAGCAAGGTGAGACAATGTCCATTTTTCAGCATTGCCATGCCCTCAGCGTCTGCATAGTTTTCGGATTCAGCAAGAACCACCATCGAATCCGGGCTGTTGGCACGCTTGCTGGTGAAACATGCGCTCGTGTCATCACCCATTCACCCATCATCTACATACTTGTGCGCATGATGAGTTCCAGTTTGAAAGCAGTACGATGCGTTGTTTTTGCTGGTTGTGGTTTTCAGTTTTGCCAGGGTCTGGCTTGTTATGTTAGTTGTGAAATTTGTGAACCAGAGAGGCAACCACGCCACAACAACGCAAATCCGGAGACGAAGATCGGAGCCCCTTCTGCCTCTACTCCCCTGAGCCAAATCAGCTGCTGATGTGACACCTAAGCAAGAACAATCCAGCTTGAAGCAGTGCGTAGCAACCATGCATAAACATGGAGTCGCCTTCTTTTGGCTCGGAACGTGCTCTCCCGCTCCCCAGGCTTGCAAATCAACAAACTGTTAGAGCAGCAGGAGAGCCTTTGAGTATTGCTTTGGGGGGATGTAGTTGCAGAGTTTGTTACCATGAGCGGCGTTGGGAAGGAAGCATCGACGCATAACGTGGTGGTCGGTAGTGTTAAAGACTTTTTTGTCTTTTCCAACGGCTTGGACTTGTAGGGTGCGGGCAGGGGCAGGGAATTTGAGATAGATTCTGGATGAAGGTGGAAGCGATAAGAACGTGTGAGTTTTTGCACATCCTAAACCACTGGTACTTGTAGTGTACTTGTACCACCTTCGCGTTTGTTCGTCGACCGACTTATGCTCTGATGCTGGGAGAAGTCCAGATGGCATAGCCTTGCTAGCGTAGCAGACGTTTACTCGCTGCCAGCAAGTCTTGCTGCCCACTTAGCCTAAGCCTAAGCGTTTCAGCTTGGTTGGGTTTGGTTGCGCATGGTTCTCAGCAAGATTGCGAATACGGAAATACCATGTATTGTCAACAAGCTTGAAACCTGACAGTGCCTGGGATTTGGATGAATCTCGAGGTGGCCTCCTTGTCCTTGTTGTCGATTGTTTGCCTCTCCAATTCTAAGTTGCCAGCAAAATCCAGCAAATGTAGCCAGATAGATCATCAATCGTGCAAGCAGAGCAAGATCAAACCCGTCTTCACTTTACAGCTTCAGCTGAAGGCACATATTTATTCAAGAGAGCCCTCTACTACAAGAACTGGGTGCCGGGCTGAGATTCTTGTTATTGATGGCTTTCGTAGCCCATGCATCGCGGACTGTGCCTGACGCAAGGTTCCCGACAGGGAGTTGCTCCAGACTAAGGTTTACGTAGTGGCAAATTGTGCCATGTTGTGCCATTCTGTAATCATGATGTTGCACTCGGCTCAAGTCTCAGCCACTGCCTGAGGTGGGAGCGCGTAGCTGAGATGCCGGAGACAATCATTGTTGATGATATTCTCGAGGTCTTGTCTGCGAAGGAAGAGCTGCAAATAACTGCTACATGAATGCACTACCTATGACAGGCGTACCCGAACATGCCTGATTTTCAGTCGCGGCCTCATCTGTCTTCATTTCTTAATCAGCCGCAAAGGCTTGCTACAGCTGCTCTTGTGGGTGCCAGCCAAGGCTGAATTTCCTGTGTGATGGTGCACGGAACCGGACAAGGGCGGCATGCTCGGATTGAGAGATTGATGCTGAAGCTTGCAGTCTTACGTCATAAGGTGATTCAGCGAGCGGGTATCGACCCAACGTATACCGTCCAGATGGTGGCTGCGATCCACATCAGCCTTGAAGAGGCTGAGACTTGCCATCCCGCTGGAAATGAGTGACTGGGTGACTGGATGAGCTTGCTTGCAGATTATGATGGATCTCATGAAGCTCAAAAAGCGTGGTTGGATGGGAAAGGGTTTTGAGGCTGGTTGCGTGCACACGAAAGGCTTTGCAGCGGCGAGCTAGCCCAAGTTTACTGAAGGTACCAAACGATGAAGACAGAAACTTGGTGAAGGCCGGCAGAGACTGTCCGGCAACTGTCCGGCTGAACCACAGGGCCGCATAGAGTGGGAGCGGTTTTGCCTGTCACAGGAAATCCTGGCCGGAATTGCGGTTCAGAGTGAGTGGATGTTGGATGCGCAGAAACATGTGCTGGACTCCTGGTGTGACAAGCTAGATGTTGCGCGCCACGTTGTTTGTGCTGGTAATTGGACCGATACCCTTCAACATTTGCCTAAGTGTATTCGGAAACCAACAGCTAGCATCTAGACTAGCAATGGGAGCAGGTGCAGCAGCCGTGGCAGCTTGCAGCATGGCGGTCAGACACAACTGTCAGTATGACAAAGGAGCGGCCTCTGGCAGGATCCACGCGGGGTCTAGAGACAGAAGCAGGGCAAAGGGAACTGCCACAGGAGCTGCCAATGGATCCCGACCTCATCAGGACACTGGAAGTGGATCAGGTCGGCACGAACTCAAACAAGGATGACAGGGAGCACCAGTTGGGGCTCAACAACGTCATGGCGAGCGAAGGACCAGGAGGGGAAAGGCCGAACCCACCAACGTGGCAAGCCCCGAAGAGGCAACTCACAGAAAAAGATTGCCCTGCAAAAGGCTCGTAGGATCCTGGATGGGCACAAGCTGGAGCAATGGCAGGGAGGCTGGCGAAGGATGCAGTCGGGCACTTTCTGGAAGCCGAACCGTACTCGGTGCTTCGCACGAGGCAAGATAAGAATAAAACGATGGACCGCAACAAAGAAGATGTGAGGGAGTTAGCCGCCGACCTACAAAATGCAGCAAATTCCTTGGAACAGAAGGAGCAGTCCATAAGGCACCCAGTGAGGGCGAAGCCACGACTAAGAGGAAAGATGCAACCTGGTGTAATGATCAATGCAAACAGTCAAGAATTTGAGGACGAAGCCCGCAAGGGATACAGGAAAACAACCTTGAGGGAGAATTGAGAACTAAGCATGTAACCGGGGAAAAGCATTTCAATAGCAGTAAGCCAGCCTCGAGGAAACTTCGAACTACCGGCAGAATGCAAATAACTATCTGCACATTTCGTACTGTTGAGACGCGAGGAAAGCACGAGGGGCTGAACGCCACGACATTTACGAGGATGGCGGCTTTGAGGCAAAAACAGCGAGAGTTACAAGGATGGCGACCGCGAGGGGCCCCATCCCTGTGACTGTTGACGCTTTTGAAGCATAGAGGGGGGTCGGTTTGGGGATACCATGGGGTGGGGGGGCTGGCGAAGCAAGAGCCGAGACAATTATGTATGCAGTGAAGCTGCAGTGCGACTGTTTGACGATTTCTGCAGGGACGAAAGGGCATGGCCTCGAATTACTTTAATTTCAGATTCCCAGGTCGTGGTTGCACCAGCAGATTGGCAGCGAAGGGGCTGATGGGGCTGGATATGAGTGGAAAGCTACTGGGCCAGTTGGGCTCTCAGATCACGTTTGTCCAGCTGTGAACTGTTCGCTTAGAACCTCTGGCTGTTTGATCATGCGCATTTGCAGCTGTTTAAGATCTGCCGTGGGCTTGACCCTTGTGGTGCATGTCGTGCCTGCGCCTCCAGATGACCAGAGCTGGCAAAGTACTGGTGCTGATCACCTTGTGTTGTTGGGATCGTTGGTTGCTGAGCTTCGTGCTGAAGGGAAGCGCTTGCCACCAGGTGGCAACAACACGTGGTACTCCGCGCAGAAGCATCTTGTATGTCGCTGGCTTGCACTCGTTGATAATTGAGCAAGCCAATGCTCAAGATGAGAAGGATATGCTCCTCAAACGCGAGCTTCCCCCACTGCCTAGAGGTTTTGCTCGTGATGTTAAAGAGTTGGCCCAAGCAGTACGAGATGCTGCCATCACAACGGTACGCGTCAATCGTCGAGGAGACGCAGAGGCTGCAAAGCAACTCCGAGGTTTGGAACAAGATGTTGCCAACAAATTGCGGGCTTACGAGCGAAATTGGTTGACTGGGCAGCTTGAGTTTAACAAGCTGACACGTGACGACCAGGGCATTCTGCAAGAGCACCCGGTCTTCCTTTCCATGAAGGAGTTGGTCGCTGCGTTGCAGTCCGGTGGATCACCTGATTTGGATATGACCTCATTCCGTTTGGATCTTTCGCGAAAATCCACGGCCATCGTGCAGTTGATAGAATCGGCTGGAGTTTCAACTTAGAACCGAGCATCCGCCGCAGTACGAAGTAAGAGGTCGTGCTTTCAATGGCTGTGAAATGAGAAAGTGTGATTAGGAGCTTGCTCGATACATGGGTTCTGCGGGTGCATAGCAACATCCTGCTGGACACTGGTGACATTTGTCATGCCTTGCTTCGATCCAGGTCGAGGTGCCAGTGCCACGGAGTCGACAAGGCAACATGTTGTGAATCGCTGCATGTTCCGAGAGAAGCCCCAAATCGCGCAGGTAATGATTGAGGAGACCTGTCATCGCTGGACGGTGCGGACCCTCAGTACCCGTAGTTGGAGATGGGAGGGTGATCCAAGTGTGCGAATGTGCCGTTTCTACCTTGTGCCTTTTTAATCCTGCAGTTTGCCAGTCTGGTTTCGTGGAGCAGCCCAATCTTTGGGTTTGCCACACAAGCACACAGAGCCATAGGATATTTTTCACGTCTGCACACACTGCCCTGGCATGTCTGAACTGAAGCGTTCCCAATCTCAAAATTTCTGCTAAAAGAGCATCTAGGTGATCTTTCCAAGTTTAAATCCTTAGTTGGGAGTCACTTGCTGAGGCTTCGCGACAATGTTCGTGATGCAGCGCACGACATCCATAAAAAACCGTGGTTTGGATTACTCCAAGGAGGTGCTTATGCTTATGGCGTGGCATTCAGATGTTAGAAGGGGGCTTACCTAGGGTGAGTTGCTTGATTTCACCCTCACTTGTGTCACCGGCCAGCCATCCAAAGGAGGCAGGGCATTAATGTGGTTTAGCACCTGTGTCATTCGCGTCAAAAAGGGATAGTGTCCAGACATGAGCTGTGTAAAACCTCATTCCGTATGGGCCAAGCTGCGATATCGTATCAAACGGCTGCAGCAGTGTTCCAGGACTGACTTGTGACTCGTATCACCTGTCGAGAGGTACACATGGTGTTGGAATCGCATATCCATCTTATTCCGTCTGAGCTGCGTACAGCCATTCCCTCTATGAGCAGGGCTCGCCTTGTGCATGATAGCTACAGCGATAACACGGCACAAGCTCCTGTTAAATTTTGTGCAGATCGTAGCTGCTCCAAACAGATGGTTCTTGTTATATTTCGGCCGCCTTCGAGGGTACGGCCAGTGCTGCCATTGGGCGCAGCTGTCTTTTCAGATCGGTCTCGCCAAAGCCACGCGGGCTTGCCGTCCAAAAGCAGCTCCAGGTTCCCAGGTTTCGGTTTCAGGTCTGGCAAGTTGGTCCTACGGAGTTCGTCTGCTGATGCCAAGCCACCACCTGGAAAATCATTTGGGCGTGGACTGGCGGCCGCTCAGCTTGCAATTATTTTATTCATTCCATTTTCCCGGTTGAACATTGGATGACTGGATCAGCCCCTATCACTAGCATCTGGACAAAGGTCCAGATACTGCACTGGTCTGTGAGAACATGAGCGAAAGCTGTAGCTTGTCAATGAACGCAGCAAGCTCTCCAAGCTGTTCGAAGGCGTTGTCGCTACACATTGGACAGACCTGCCTGCATCACCGATCCTCATGTTCTAAGGTCACTTTGCTTGTGCTGGCCATCGTGGGTGCCCTGACAAAGTTTCTGGATCTGTCGCCCAACTTCGCATTGATCGCATTTGGCCTGCAGTGGGGCTTCTTCCTGCTGCAGGGTTGGCCGCAGCGCTACTGGGACATTGAGCAAGAGACAAAGAGAGAGAGAGGGTCTGCGCGTGCTTGGGCTCTGGGCAGTGCCACGGCTCGTCCGTAGGGGCGAGCTAAGCCCGTAGAAGAAGAAGAAGAGCTTTGCACTTCAAGCTTGTCTGTGCTTTAGCTGAGTTTACAAGAACCCAGGTTCTGAAGTGCTGTACGACGCTTCAGGCACGTGTCTCTGCCCTTGCGATTGCAAGCTCAAGTGCCAAGCTGCCAAGCTTATACGCCGAGGCTCGCTCACTCACCTATCGATTGTTTTGGCAGCTCTTCTCTCCGATCCAGTGCGAACTCCTCGCCAAACCATTTTGAGCATTTTCGCTGTGGTGTGGTGTACCCGACTGGGCACTTTTTTGTTCAACCGCATTTCGCAAGACTCGAAGGCAGGCAGGGCTGCAAACTGTGCGTTGCTGAACCAATCGCGCTTGCTGATGCAGGATTCAAGGTTCACAGACTTGAAGACGGAGTTCTGGTCATTCTCGATCGCCTGGAATCTGCAGGTGTTGTGGGTCTTCCTTTTACAGCTCCCAGCCTCCCAAATGCATCTATGAAGCCCCTGATGGCATGCTGACAAGGGCTTGCAGAGTTGTGGTGCAACATGCTCAAGATATGGGTCGCAGCTCGTCCCAATGTGTTCTTCGAGGTCATGATGGTCAACACCACATTGAATCAACCATCGAACCTTGGCCAAGACCCTGCATGTCAGAGTGCGTGTCTTCAAAGTTTCCTTTTCCGCATGTTTGATGGAAGGAACAAGCTGTTTCGCAACCACATGCTAGCAGGATAGGTGCTTGGGATGTACTTGGCTGGGCTCTTTGGTGCATGGGCTTTCTGGTGGAAGCTGCGCTGCCCTTACATGCTCTTACGCTTCGACATCAGCCCTTGCTGCATGCTGATGGACAGTGATTTGCAGCGCAGCAAAGGTTGCTGATGGTCAGAAGTTTGCATTCCGAGGGAACCTTGCAAATCGAGGACGTTTCATTACGTCAGGTCTCTGGAGATATTCACGCCATCCAAATTACTTCGGAGAGATTCTGATGTGTCCTTTCTGCGTGTGGTATTGCGTGTGCAACCTTTGTTTTTTTGTACAGCTGGTTGCAAAGTGTCAAGAGGGCGTTAAGGCACTTTACGTCCTGGCTATAGGTGGATTGGCTTGTGCACCTCGTTCACATCATGCATCACTGGCATACCTCAGCTATTGGCTTGGATTTCGCCGGCCTTCAATGCAATTCTCCTGGTGTATGCGGGTGTCTCAAAGACCACAGGAAGAATGTTTTACTAGTTGAGCGGCTTGCCTTGTGCCCGTCAGGTCTCGGGTGTGCCGCTCCTTGAGAAAGCTGGAGAAAAGAAATGGGGCCAAGAGCCAGAGTACCGCCACTACATGGAGGACTGTCCGTGAAGTCAAACAGTAATGCAGAGCTTGGCAAGGCTTCTAATTATGATGGCCCCCAGGGATTCTTGAGGGGTTGTTTCTCCCTCTTCCGACAGACCATCGGAGTGTTGTCCCGGGCGTCCGAGATCACGCACAACTTGGCAGTGGTCGGGCTACCTGCCGCATAAGTTCAGTAGCCCCAGCAGTTACCACACAAACTCTAATCATGAACAGCTGTTGATTTCAGCATGGTATTTGCAAGCATGCCAGATGCCAGTTCTTCCATTGCAAGTCCACAGTCTCGGGAGTGCTTAATGTGGCAGGTAAGTTTTTGTTGTGGAACCAAACACAGCCTCATTCTGGAAGCTACAAGCCGCAACAAATTTCCAGCTTCCAACTTCAAGAAGTAAGCTGAAGTTGCACCTCACAAGCTGCAACGGCTTTCCCAACAAGTACTGGCACCAATTCCTCTTCAGGAATGCAGCATCAGGTTTTCAACGGCGTAGTTTGTTGCCGTTTGCATCGACCGGTGTTCAAGTAGCATTGCAGAGAGCATGCATCGCAACCAAACTCAACAAAGGCGACAGGCCCATGGGCATGTAGGCGCAGCATGAGATGAAGATGAACCAGCCGGCCTCCAGACAGGGAAGGTCGTAAGTAGGAAGAGTTCGCCTTTGAAAAATACCTTGCAACGACCTCAGCATGCCGCAGTGACTTGCCGTCCAAATTGCCCAGCTGGTGTCGCTCGCAGAACACTTCCTGCATCGTTCCGTGGTTTCCAGCACCAGAGTATGAACGTGACCAATCCGACAGAGGAGAAGCATAGGCATCCTTCAGACTTGCTCGCCCAAAGAGGCAGCACAACTGCTCTGTTTAAAGTGCACTCACTGGTCCAATCTCAGGCGTGCAACAGATGCGAGACGATAAAAGAAGATGGATGTTTTGTCGGTCTGCTGTTTTTCAGAAGACCAAAGATGCCTGCCAGAGCCTACCTGCAAGCGCTTGGGCTATCCGTGACTCAAGCTGTTTGCTAAGTTCATAGATATGGACAGCATGCGGAGGTAAAGCTTTTACATCCCTGTAAGATGTTCTAGATTTTGTGATGGGGCTAATCGGAAACGGCAAAAGCTTGAGAGTCAGATTCGTTTGTCTGAGCTAAAGGAATGGGTTACCTTGAAAGTATGTGCAGTTTCCAACCATGACAAGATGGGCCCGGCGCTGGATCTAGGCCGGCGTGCGCATGGGAGCGTTGCACTCCTTACACCGAATGTGCTCAGGAATCAATCTCGTTGTTTTCCTTTCCCTGCTGGCCATTGTCGGCGCCTAAGAGTGTATCCTGGCGGTTGCATGGTCTGTATCTTGAGTCTGCCTTGACAGTCGCAAGATAGGAGCAGACTCGAGCGAATTGTGCCAACGATTTTCGCCCGCACAGCGCAGTCAGCACGTACTCCCCAGCTACTTGTTGTCAATTAGGGTCAGCTGGAAAAGATTGCGCGTAGGTCCCAGAGCACTCGTGCACACTGAGCCGACTCCATTGATTAGGGGTTCTTCCACGCCCTATGACAAAGCCGAAGCCCGGCCATCCTGAAACCGGGTTTGCCAGTGAATTCTCATTGCAAAGGCTTGGCTGCAAATGCCCTGCGTACTTCTGAGAGCTGCTGCTGAAAACGAGGCCGCTTGCATCTTCAGCCTGCCCAGCGGCTGCCCTAGCGCCATGACACATGACAGTGTCTTTGGGATCGGCATATGTGACCCAGGCAAAGGCGTTTCAGAGCCTACGAAAAGGTCTTCACAGCACAAGAGGTGCAGCGAGACTGTTGCAGATGTAAAGCCGGCAGTTCACGTGAACTAGCGAGGTTGGCACCAGAGCTGGACGCAACCCCGGAGGTTCCGAAATGCATAGTCGCAGTCGCATGGCCGCAGTCCCGCCGAATTTTTTTGTGTTCGTTTCTGTTACCAGCAGGATTCGCCACTGGAAAAGGGGCGACTTGGCCGCAACAGAACTCTGCAGCGTAGCCCTTCCAGAAAGAAACATCTTACGGCAATGAACCGAGGCAACGCTGCACCGGGACCGTGCAGCGTTATTCTGAGCGCAACGGCTGCCACCTGAATGCCAATGATTGCTGGTGTACGGTACATGTTAGATGGCTGCTCTCTCTCCTCACAGGCATTGGATTCATTGCGTGCGCACAGTGCAGGGTCTACACCTCAAAAACCAATATCCCGTGTCTAGTCAATGCTTGCTGCTGGTGAACTGCGACTGTAGCTGTCAGCCTGGCCTTTGAGGCCGTTTATGGGCGAGATGTGCAGTTATTCCAGGAGGACTGGGAGGAGAGCCGTTCAGTGTCTTCAAGTGTCTTCCATATCTTCCTGCAAACCTGCCTGTGATATCGGGAGGCTTTGGACCTCACCATCGGAGCAGCCCGGAGCTGACCGCCATAATTTGTTCACTAGAGTCTCTGCCTAGCCATGGGCCCGTTATGCGGGCCCCTCATTGTTTCTTGTGGTTTTGAACTATAGGCTCAATAGGGTTTGTAGGGTATACAGTAGGTATATGAAGACCATGAGGGCCCGTACTAGGGACTGATAGTTCAAACTTTAGACTCCGTGTTGAAGGCACTGGCCGAAAGCATGGCCCGCAAAGAGTTGGACTACACAGAAAAACCTCCTAGCTTCTGGAATTGCAGGCCTACCCTGCCTTCATGCCCCGGATCTCGCCCCAGCAGAGCACGATCAAGCGCGTCACATCTCTGACCAACAGCAGCAAGAAGAAGAGACATGATGGATAGATGTGGTGTTCGTGTTGTCTTTCCCTCCAATCCTGCACCCGCAGCATGTCTTGAGGTTGTCAGCTTCATGCTTTCCGTGGAAGAACGCTTCCCGTGTCCCAAGGGGAGGTGAGCCTCACACGGATGATCCGCTGCAGCGTTTCGCACAAAAGCATTGAAGGCCCTGGGCCGCGGACGTGCAGCGAGTCAGGCAAGAAGGAGGTGGGTAGTTTGCACATTCGTGTGTTGACCCGGCAGGTGACATTTTTGTCCACGCCACTGCTTTAGCCAAAGGAGTGTGTTGCTCCAAGAGGATGGCCAAACCCGACCAAGCTGGCAGCTTGACAGTTCACAAAGAAAAACAGCTTTGGAGGGGAATGCTCGTCCTGGCAGCATGTCAATTCTGCACTTGGTCAGAAGCAACGTTGCGCTTGCCACATGAGCAGCGTTTTGTTTCTGCATGAAAGAGCTATGATGCCCGTGAAATTAGCCTCGGGCCTGCAGGGCATAGTCTTGCGTAGTCTCGCATAGTCACGTGTAGGTTATCTTGTCCGCGTAGTCTGCGTAGTTTGTATGTTTCATAAGACCTATTGCGTATAACGTTGTGTAGGCC